GTAAAATTGCACATTAATAAATGAAAAGTGGTTCCTACTAACTACAATCAACGAACGTTTAAATGATAGGGATAACATTACCGCGGTCAGGAGTTTAGGGACAACATTGCTCATTTGAAAATAGGTTTGGGAAAAAATTACACCTTAACCCTTTTTTTATTGCTTACTCTCTTCGTTAAAAAATGTAAGACATTTTTTGAGGAGTTTGATGTTAAAAATGTAAGACATTTTAAATCTTTTAAGGTGTCATTATTACCTTTTTTTTTTCAAAAGTATCCCATATTGAATATGTTACTTTATATTTTTCTAGAGTGAAATACCTTATTAAATAGGAGTAAATATGAAAAGATATGGTTAGTTTAAAGACAAATAACTATTTTATTGGGGTAAGATTTGATTAAAAATAATTTATATTTTTAAATAAAGAGAGCATAGGTTTTTTTTAATTAGAAACAATCTTATTCGATATATAGTCAAGCACTAAAAAGTAATAAAACTAAGAAAAAATAATCTTATACATAAAAAATAATGTTATTATCAAAAATTTAAAGAAATAACGATTTTTTTTAAAGAAAAAGAAAATTAAAATTAAAATTCATTTCTTGGCCAAGTAGGATGTAAATAGTCATGCGAGATTCATCATCTAGGATATAAAAAAGGAAAAATTACAATCAATGACCCCCAGAGAAACATATTCACAATTAATGATAAATTAATTCTGAATTTACGCTGCAATCCAAAGGCCTTAATTGTAATTAATTTTGACCGAGAAAATATGAAAATGCTCCCCTAATAAAAATGAAACGAAGCATGGAACTCACAAGATAAGCTGTCATTCACATGAAAACATTCAAAGGTTCAGCTAGCGTGAGCTAGTAAGTTAAAAATTATAAATTCCTTCCTCCTTCCTCATCTTTCTTAGTGAACTGATTTTGCATTCTTTCTTTTAACTAACTTGTATTCAGTTTTGTTTTCTTGATATCATAAGCTTGTCATTGAGTTACTTCAATAGCTAAGTAATTGAATCTAAAGCTTATAGTATCATCAAGGTAAATGATTTAGCCCTGACTGATATTAGTTTTGACATTCTTAATTTCATTGTATATTATTTTTGCCACTAAAAAACATGTTTAATGTAAGAACAAGGTAATGAAGGATTTGGCATATACAGTTAGCAATAGTAGGTGCATAATAATGGTATTCGATAGCATTAATCTATCTCATTTAATGTGGATTTATCTTGGCAATCACAACATTCTGTTCTGATGTGAAATATTGTGTGATCAATACAATAATATATTATTGTTAAAATGCAGAGTGTAGTTGTTATTTTTTGATTTGATTATATTTTTCTTTTCAATCTGTTGGATAGCCTAGGAAGAAAAGTCTAGAAGTAACAAACTATTTTTTTATAAAATAATAATGATATATGGGTGATATTAGAATTGTAATTGTATTAGAAAATAGAGTAAAACTTAGTTGAAATCTAGAATTGTTGAACCTTATGTTGTTAAAATAGTAATATATTGTTGATATTATAATTGCAATTATAAACTCAAAAATAGAGTAAAATTTGTTTGAAATGATTACAAAGTAACATGATAAATGGCAAGTAATAGTGTAAAGAAATTATTTTATTTTATCTATTATGGGGGAGTTCATGAAAAGACGAGTGAAGACAATGTCAAATATGATGGAGGGAATGTAATTGCTAAAATAATAACAGAGGGTGTGACATATGATGAATTTAGAAGATTGATGTTTGCTGAAGTGTATCTTGAAATTAAAGAGATGAACCTAAAGTTTATAGATAATATTGAAACTTCCACAACCATAATGATAGATCTTGTAGATGATGCAAGAGTTGTACAACTTATTGAGTTCAATGGAAACAGTGGTCATGTTTATGTTGGTGTAAGGGAAATTGACATTACACAGTCATCATTAAATGACTATCCTTAAGAGTAAGTAATAAGAGTTAATTTTAAAAATCAATTTTATTGATCTAAGCCTTTTACATTTAATATTGAGCCTTAATTATTTGAATGCAACATAGATAATACCAAAAGAATTTATGAAGCACTCTCCACTAGTGAAATTAGATGGGAATTTGATATGTTAAACTTACCATCTCCATTTTAAAACCGTGGCAACATCCTTTATTGAGTAAAGTTTAGTTGTGAAAAGTATTTTAGCTCTAATACCAAGAGTGAATGCAACAAAATGGAGAATTTGCTTATTGGTATAAGAAAGACATTCCTTTATGCAATGGCTTTCAGAAAAGCATTATACAAATATAGCTTTGCTAACAAGTTTGCATACAAATTTTGGAAGAATCATGAGGACAAAGTCATTGCCAAGTGTGTGGCTAAGGGTGCAACTTTTATATACAAATAACCCATTATAGTATTTTTTTTTTTTGAAATGAGTTATCACCTTTTGTATATGCCTCTTGTATATGTGTGTGCAGCAATATAATATAATATAAACGGATGAAAAATTTTATGAGAGTACTTATTTCTACCATGACAAGTATTATTATAAAATTAGGTGGAATTGATGTTGTTTATATATCAATATTAACTCGTTCTCAATGTAATGGAACTTGTCCACTAGAATGAATATTATATGACATTTTAAAGTGTGATAATAATATCTGTATCAATGTATAAATGAATGTAGACTTGTTATTTACATAACAGTTAATTGTTTTTTTTTTTTGGAAATGGTGAGTTGTCCATTAATTTTGAATACTTAAACATTTTCTTAAATCAAGAATTCTAGCACATTGATTTATTTCTACTTAAAATGAAATTGGGAGTTGTTGTTTTTTTTTTTTTCCAGAATGAAAAGTTCCATGCTTCATTTCCTTTCTATTAGAGGGACATTTTCGTATTTTCCTAATCAAAATTAATTACAGTTAAAACTTTTGAGATTGCTGTGTAAATTCAAAATTAATTAGTCCTCAGTTGTAAATTGGTTTCTTCAGGTCCGTGGATGTGATTTTCCCTATAAAAAAACGTGCAAGTCGCTCTTGTTGACCCCGGATCATGAAAACAAATTACGTCTCTAGCTTGAAGAAGGACGTCTGAAAACTTTCCACCCTTTAATTATGATTTGATTGACTAAGAGTTTTAGATAAATGAGCTAAGCTTAAGCTCACCTTCTTTACATTTCTGAACCAATGAGAAAAATAACACTAATACAAGGTAAATTTATCAAGTCATAAATCTCACCTGTCTGTTCTTCAGGTCAAAAAAAAAATCTCACCTGTCCCATCTTTTTTCTTTTTGAAATCTTTTCAGGTTTTCAATCAACAGTAACAGACATAATGGTTGTTGTAAGAGATGCTGACTTGCTGAGGCTGCCTGGCAGACCTACACAAGCATCTCTTTGGAGATCTGCAGGAGATGCAAAGATTTTAATCTTGAAAGAATTTTAATTAAACATTTTAAATGTAATTTAATTATTAATGAGTCTTAATAAAATTTAAAATTTTAATTCAATTTAAAAAAATTAAAGTAAAAATAATTCCAATAATAAAAAAATTAAAGAACACTTTACTTATTAATTTTATTTAAGATGCAAAATTATTAGTTATTAATTTTTTATTTCACTTATTAATTTATTAATATGAGTTATAAATTATATGATTTGACTTGTTAATACTCACACAAGACTTGAAATTAACTATTTAATTGCAAATAATAATATTAATTATTAAATTATTAATTTTATTTATTAATTTATTAACATTAATATATAAATTATAGGAAAAATTGATCATTTAATTCTTCAACTTTTAACTTACTTGTAATTCAGTCCCTCAACTATAATTCATTACGACTCAATCTCTCAACTTTTGATTTATCTATAACTCAGCCCTTATTTTTTAATTTTTTTAAAAAAATCTTATCAAATAAGAAGGATAAAAAATGCTCATATATTATTTTAAAATACTCTCCATTTACTTATTGATATGAGATATAAGCTAACATGGAAAAAATTAAAAAAAGTTAAGGAACTAATTTATAAGTAATTCAAAAGTTGAAGGATTGAGTTATAGGCGAGTCATAGTTGAAGGATTTAATCACAACGAGTCATAATTAAATGACTGAGTTACAAGTGACTTAAAAATTAAAAGATTAAAAAATTAATTTTCTTCAAATTATAAATCCTGTCAATAATTTAATCATTAAACGGTGTAGAGATGCCGAACAGCTAATTAGGCACGTGCAAATATTGTTGTAGTTAGGTCTGGTCTACTGCTGACATTTCACAATTCAAGCACTAACACGCAGAAATGAGAGACCATGTCAAACAGTCCAACAAGTACGTATTTTACACTTTACTTTCAGAATTACTATGACAAGGGCATACTATTACTGTCTTCCCTCTCTTAAGTGTAAGATACTATAGTTTATTAATTTATGAAAGTTTAAAAAATTGGTTAACTTAATTATTTGTCATTATTTTGTGTAAAAAATTTGCATCATTTATCCTAAAATATTCATATTTTAATGAGAGTATTAAATGTGAGAAACGAGAAAGTGAGAAAAACTGAAATTAATGAAGATATTGCAAGGAAAAAAATATTAAATGAAGAACATAAATAAATTAAGTTTCTACGTGTAAGACCAAAATAAACATTTCTAACAGGAAGAGGAGGGAACATATTTTTTATATATGTAAATTTTATTATACTCCGGATGTACAATTTATGATTTGTGAAATGTTGATTGATTATTTTATTACCGGGACTAAAAATTGATGTACAATTTTTCCGTTGAGAATAATGCTACCGGTCGTTTCTTACAGAGCACGCCTTCAGATCTTGAGAATGATTAGTCTAAGTCTCCCGTTATATGGAATTTGGAAAACGAAGCATTAATAATTGCACTCGTTACAATATATTATATATTTACGAGTGCAGAAGCATGAGAATGCCAAAAAACAAAAAAAAAAAAAGGAATGATGCAGTCCTACTAATACAATAGGAATTAACAGCTCATGGCGTGAACTTATTTCTCGAGCGTAAAAAATGACATCAAAGAAGAACAACATCAAGAAACGTAATAAACCCTCCCAGGGATTTGACGTCTGTGCATATGTTATCCCGTAAATGATCATATGAGCAGAAGAAAAATTTTCTTATATACAACTCCATCACATTAGAAAGCATCTATTAAATGGAGCAAGAAATGAAATTGCAGAAGGAGGGGGAGAGAGAACTTAAACTGCTCCAATTCCCAGAAAAGTGATGACATACATTGAAGCCCCATTGATGGAAACAAAATAGGGGAAGTTGTGAACCAGACGTTACTTCATATATCGTAGTCTATGTCTGTTACATTCTGGGAGACAGAACGCTTCACCAACTCTCCTTGCTCATTGTAACGGTCAAGGTTCTCACAGGGAGCAGGAAATATGGCTCCTATTACACGACCTTGGACAAAAGCACACTGGAAGATGCGCTTCTTCTTGTAGGTTGTCCCAACCGAAAAATCCTGGAACGTTACATTCCTTACTGGTATTTCTTCACTACCATGAATCCGAACCGGCACACGAACTCCCTGGCCATGGATAGTTGTGAAGCTTATGTCTTTCAGCACTGGAAGTGCCTGTGGGTCATATCCTGCATCTGGGTGTTCATTGTAGTCTGTCTTGATAACAATACCCACACGGACATTGTCAAATGTTAGATTCCGATAGGTTATTTCGCGAACAAAACCACCTCTTCCTGGGGCTGTCTTGATCCTCACAGCACGTCTGGATTGCCACACGAGGACGTTCTCCACTGTCACCTTGGACACACCCCCAGACATCTCACTGCCTATTGAGATTCCAGCACTGTTGCATTTCATTCAAGGCAAATCCATAAATTTATCATTTGACAATTCATTCAAGGTATTGGTTAATTAAGATATGAAAGCATCACTGCACGCTGGTGGATGCGTTTAGCCGGGCAGAAAACCCTCCTTACTGCAGTATCCTATAGTCGCATCTCAAACAGGTACATGTTACGTGCGTGTATTCTTGAAAAATGTACAAGATGGGATGGGGGGCCTAATTTTCTGATATTTCTAACGGTATTTACATTAAGGCCACAAGTAAATAATTCAGACAAAAACTGCCGCACGCAGCTGGGAGCAGGAGCAGGCGTGAGCATGATGAGACGCACTTGGGAAAGTTAATGTCTCTTAGGGTAAAGGAAGATTAATTTATTTAGATTAATGTTCATAGATGTATAAGAGTCTGATCCTAGACAAAATATAATAAGATAATAAAAAAAGCAAGCATAAGTTACAAGTGGGTTGAGTTATGGTTTACCTGACCATAGAGCGAACAACAAGGTTCCGGATGATTACATTGGTGGAAGGTCTTCCATAGGCAATTCCATACTGATCCCAGCCACTTTTTATAGCGATTGCATCATCCCCCACGCTAATGTAACAGTCCTCTATCAGCATATCCTCACAAGAATCTATTTTTATCACAGAAAGTGGGGCTTGTTAAATTCATCACATGAAAATCTAACACCAATGAACATTTCAGTCAAAAGCAAACTGATAGACCATTTCTCAGATTGTATCCAGATGGCCTTTTTGTGTCATGTAATGATAATTGACAACCATGCCAACTAAGCAGAACAGAATTCACATGTCAGGCATCATTTTAAGTCCATCTTGTTAGTGCACAACCAAAAAACCACATTTCACAGTTCACAGATTAACAATACTGACTTGAAATTAAAATCAATTACTAGGATCTAAAGTTAACCAATCCCAGACAAGAAGACATAATTTCTATACACCTAACTCCTTATACATGCCTACAGATAGATAACACTTAATCTCATTCTGCCTCACTAAACATACTCCCATTACATAGAAAATTCAGCTGGTATTCAATGACTTCATCAAGAGAACTAGTCTACTCGGTCAACAAAAGTAGATTGTGCATATGATGGAGCACAAACACATAACCTACCATAAGTTATATATGAATCCCCCAGTTTTTTCGCTTACTTTTTATGAAGCATCGTTTAAGTTTGTTTAGTAGGCAACCATTGAGATGAAACTACCCTCCCTTACCATCTAAACTTATAACTTGAAGTCAGGGATACACTAGTCAGAAAATCATGTATAAAAATATGAGAAATTAAGTTTTGGCGCTCAGCAAAAGATACTTACCAGGATCAATGCCATCAGTATTTGGAGCTTCAAATACAGGAGCCAAAATTGTAACATTTTTTATTGTTACATTCTTGCAGTCATATGGATGAAGGGTCCAAAAAGGAGAGTCACGCAGAGTTATGTTAGTTATCACTATATCACTTGACCACATGATCTGAACAAGTGGCCCTCTTGTGTGGTTGAGAAGCTTCTGGCGATATTTTTTCCACCATGTTTGGCCCTGTCCATTTATTGTACCATTATGCCCTGTCCATCAGTCATAAGCCGAAGCATAGAATTAGAGAAACTTAGAAGATAAACACTAGCAGAAAGAAACGACAAAAGGGGTTAAATTTCCCATTCAGGACTTGCCTACCTATTCTTAGTGCGCTGTACAATACAACCTCATCTAGTTGTATAATGAATAATAAGTTAACAGTTTACCCAAAAAAATATAGGCCCTCCTTACTTTTTGAATTGTCTAGAGTGGCTTGTGGGACAAGGTGACTGAACTAAAATAAAGCTTTGTGGTAATAAAATAAATATTGGCGCAACTGAATTCTCAATTAATGTTGAAGCACACTTGGTTCATAAAACGAGCAAGTGCTGACTACATTCACTCAGTGATTTAACATGAAAAGAATTAATAGAGAAGGTGGACCACCCTCAGAAGCTACAAGCTTGCATTGATGACCTACACAACAGATCTCAAACATGAAGGGAAATTTTCAAGATACATAAAATTAAATACAATTGGTCTTCTTTATCTTAAAGAACTCAAACCAATGATGTCTCAGAATATGACATTAAGATTCTGTCCCTAACAGTAGATACAGACTTCAACTTGCATATAGTGATATTAGATACCAAGTAAAGACCTTTGTCATGAAGAGAAGACAATGATTTTGTTACTGGAAACAAAAATAACCTCACCTGTTATCACAACATCTTTAAGATTTTGGCCATGAATCAAACTTCCATATCGAGGCCCAGGATGCTCCCTCCCATACCCATAAGAAGGCAGTGGAGGCATCAGCGGCCAGTACTTTTCACCCTATCAGTCATCACACAGCAAAATAAATCTAATTTAAGCGATAGCTTCAATTATGAGGGAATGAAGAGAGATTGATGATAAGCATTATAAAAGATAGCTTGACCTAAGAGAAGCTGGATTAGAAACATTGGCCCTTATCAAAGAGATAAACGACAAAATTTAACAAGGCATAGGATATATTGAGCCATAGAAAAGACTTCAAGCCAATTTCTCATATCTAGCGTCTTGTTTGATGTGGCACTTATGTTGCCAACTATGAAAACAACAACAATTTAGCTAATATAGGGAGATCAAGTGACCCAGCAATTGATTAATAACATACCAGTTATGCTATGATCTGAGTACAATTCTGTAGAAATTAAGTTCAACTTGTGACTCTTGCAAAAGATAGTTTAAACCAATTTCTACCACTTAAAGCTTTGATCGAAAAGGTTATAGCCTTGTACAGCATAAGGTCAGAACAGTCAGCTACAATTCAGCCAATTTAGAGGCATTCAAAAGATTGATAATATAGAACACAGACCTTGGTGCTCTTTATTGCTCGCAAATCATATTACTTTCATTTGCTATTGCTATAAAGATTTCTATATAGGTACTTGCATATTTGCATTGCAGTTAAATCAAACTTTTAATTTTTGTTCATGCCACAAAATTTATCATCCCTCTGTTATTAGGTTAAAATTTATTACTAACAGAAATTTTTTTGAACCAAATCCATCAATATCGAGGTAATGATAAAAAATTGTGCCAAACAACTGCCGTCAAGACAACCAGATTGATTCCAGCAGCCTAAACTAGAAGGGAGTCAAATTCTTTAATAATGATATTTGCATTTATAATTTCCTCTTTTTTTCATTTTTCCCTTTCCTAATGAAAATAATATAGTTCTTTGGATCTGAAACAGTTTACATCTGAATCTACCCCAAAGCAATTATGTTGCACCATGGTTAGTCAAATTCTAACAGAATCAATTGCAATGTCTGAAGACGTTTCATTAGTTTTTATTGTTGGAGTGCCCAGTCTCAGTCTCGTACATTAGCCAAAACTGAGTTGTCAAGCATGGCAATGCCTTTTTTTTTTTTTTTTCCTGAATGAAAAGGGATAATATATAACTAACTCAAAATGAGTACAAAGTTAGAGCACAAACTAAACAAATCTTTCATCAACTACCTCCATTCAGGAATGGTGATGGCAATGCTTTGATTTGCAATCAAATCAACAACCCCAAAGCCCAATCAACAAAAATTTTGCAGTGAGAATTTGCTCCACAAACAAGCAAATATAAGAAAATTATGGCATGCACAAAATTTGAATGGAATACATCAGTGTATATATATATAAAACAGGACTACATATTATTTCAGAATTATACTATTTTGCCATCAACACAATTTCAAGCTTATCACACACCTAATCAATAATCACCATGAGCAGTAAATCTTGTACCACTTTCCTATGCATAATGAAGCTTTACCACAGTTTGATATTTATATATAAGGTGAGATTTGACCTTGTAATTGAAGAAGAAACTGATCTAATTTCCTAGTTTGAAAAATAAAAACACAGACATAACATGAATATCTGAGATGTGAGGCTCCCAGTTTGCAATTATAGAAGATCATAGCAAACAGAACGACTAAAAACATTTTATAAATTCTGACAATTTATAGTTTCTCCAACTACTAGTTCTTGATTTATGAGGTTCAAAAAGGAAAACAAGAAGACAGACTTAGTGTTTTACTTTTTTTCTTGGCTATAAATGTATCCTTGATCATTAACTTACTAGAAAAGAATTGTTATAGTTGCGTGATTACTAAACTTTAAACTTCACGATTCAAACGAAATGCACAACATTAATTAGAATCGAAGAATCTCGTCAAAATAACAACAATGCAGAATGACCCACCTGAATACCAAGTATGACAGCATCTTCAGCCAGGAATAGAGTCATGTGACTAGTAAGATTGAACGGAGCCGTTAGCCAGCGACCTGGTGGCACATTTAGCTGACCGCCTCCTCTTCTCCCGAGCTTGGAGATAGCAGAAACAGCTCTCTCGAAAGCCTCAGTGTTCACAGTAACCCCATCACCCACCCCTCCAAAATCAGTCAAATTGAAGACTATGGGTCGGAGTTTCGGCATTGGCCTGACCGGGACCCGACCGAATATAAAGAAGCCATCGACTATGTTCCTCTGCCACAGAAAAACAGACGCAAATGCAACGATCCAGAGAAAAGTGAAAAGGGTCTTGTGCGAGGTCAAGAATGCCGGGATCCAACGCTTAAAATCGAGCCTCTGGTGGTGGAACCGGCCAAGTGATAAGGTCTCCACCATCATTCAAGTACGAAAACGGGTCGGAATCAACTTGGGTTTAACAGCTAACGATGTAGGTATCCGGAAAAAGCTTTTGCCTGCTGCAAGTGAACATCGATTCCTTTCTTGGGTCCTGCGTTCTCAGAGAGGAAAGAGCATCCCAGGGAAAATTTTGACCGAATATGGTGTGAAATAGTGATAAAGGTGGATAATTTCGTGAGTGATGCAAACGCTCTTGTTGATACTGAGCAGTCCCGACGGTGCAGGAGATCCGTTCTGAAAATATATCGTGGAGTGAATTGAAAGGCAAGCTGTGTCTTACGATATGAGGTTGCTGCAGATGCAGACTTCGTTTGAGAAACTGGAACTGAATTTGGTTCTGGGGACAACGATAGCACAGCAGGGGGTCCAATAGCATGGGCAACACTATGGATCTCAAACGCGAAAGGGGCCTGGGAATTTATAATCTGACGGTCTTAGGTGCCCGACCCGTATCGAACACTTTCAACAATAATTTCTGTTTTCCTCCCCTGGTTTCTGAAGTTTTTGTTGGGATCAAGATAAGAAGAATTAAACGTCACTGGTCCCTCTATGGCGTCGACAGCATATGCTACATTAAGATATGATATAAAATTTATCCCCCTCACCAATATTGGGCTCCGTTTTGTGTGTGTGTGTGTGTGTTTGTTTTGATTTACTGTTAGTCAAGAAAAATAGTTTGATACAAGGAAAAATGACAACAAAATTACTCCAAAGTATATAAATGTAATATGATTTTTCAAAATACCATGATTTCAATAAAGTTTTTAAGGATATTTTTGTCAACAATTTTTTTAGTGAAAAGAGAATTTTTTCATTTAATTTTTTTGATTCTTTAAATAAAAGTTGTAAATAAATTTTGTCATTTTCAGAACTTATTTTTAATAATAAAAATTATACTTGATAAATTATAATTTATTGTTCAACTCTTGTGATTTACAAAAAAAATTATTATTTTTTAAATAAAAGTTATAATTGTAACTTATTTTTTAATAATAAAAATTATATTTAATAAGTTGTGATTGCTTATTCAACTTTTATAATTTATAAAATAAAAGTTGTGATTGAGACTTATTATCATTAGTAAGGAAAAATGATCTTTTCACTAAAAAAAGTTATTGATGAAGAGGTTTATAAAAACTTCATTAAAATTATGATATTTTAAAAAACTAAATTATTTTTTATATAATTTAGAGGGATTTTATTATTATTTTTTCTTGATATAATTGTGTTTAGATGATTTTTCCATTTAACATTGGTTAAAAAATATAAATTTTTTCTAAAACAACTCAATTAATAAGCACTGTTTGTTTAAGTTTTTTCGCATCAAAAAATTATTTATTTTTTAATAAAATATTTTATCAAACTTTGTAATGCTCATTTAAAATTTTGAAAATAATCATAATCTAAAAAAAATAGTTTTCTGATTATTTGAGAAATTATCTTAAATAACTTTTGAAAATAGTCTGTTGTGACAAATGAGAGAGAATATTATAAAAATATAAATATATCATAAAATTTTAAAACAACTAAGCAATAAATTATTTTTTCATAAATTCCACGAAGACATCATAATAATTAAAAGTAAATAAATAATAATAATTTTTAATTGTAATCAAATATAAAATAATGTTATTTTTTATTTCTATAAAATAAATATTTTATAAAATATGTGAACTATGTGAAAATCACTTATTTTTTTAATTTTAAACAAACTAGTTGTAAATCAAAACATTTTTTTGACCAAATAAATCAAAACATAAAAAAACACATTTTCTAAGTCATGCACAAATTTAAATATAATATTTTTTATATTTTATTCAATATATGAATCCTATGTTTACTTCATATTAATATAAAAGGTAGAATTTATAACAGTGTAATATTTACAATTTCAAGAATGAGAAAAGAGAAAAATACTTAGGTAGACTGATGTGCCATGTCATTTATAATCTGTTCAATAAAAACATGATATTTGAATGACATTAATTAAATATTGATTTTGATATTAATGATAGTAGAAAGAAAAAAGGCAAAAACTCAAATGTGTATTTTGTTATAAAAATAAAATTAATTTAAAAAAGGTCACATAAGATTTTATTCAAATTACTTAAAATATTTTAATTAAATAAAATACAAATAAGATGGTGCATTCAATCTACCTAAGTATTTCTCCAAAAAAAAAAAATATAAGTCAGGGTTTGTGTAAAAAAAAAAAAAGATCTCCATCCTTGAATGGGTTTCTCTGTGCATGTATGAGTTTACCGGTGGATTCTACCGTAGAAAGATATTTGACCTATCACTTATAACTCCCTCTTAATGTGCCATCAAGGTTTTGTTTGGAATGAGAATAAAATAAGGGGGAAATTATGAGATAAAATTATAAGAAAAAGAGATTTTCTACCCTTATTTTCTTCTAATTTTCTAGAGGGGTATTGCTAAAGAAAATTTTTTTTTCCCCTTTTGATATAGTGGAAATGAAAATAGAAATGGAAATGGTGATGGGTATGGATTTTAAAAACATGTTTGGCATACATGTAGAATTGAGATAATATTTTTATTTAATATTTACATTTATCATATGAAAAGACTACAATGCCATCATCCTAAAAAATGCCCTAATCCAGATAACATCATTATTGACTGCTATCAAGGTGTAGCCATAAAAAAAAGGAACAAAACTAGATCCAAGTCAAGCATAAAAAGATCAAATCAAAAGATAGAAAACAATATCTTTAAGGGAAATAAATATATATGTGGAAAGATGGGAAAATCAATATCTCCTACGAACAATCAAAGTTTGGGTTGTGATTTTTTCATTTTTGATTTATGAGAGAAAGAGGGAGGTCGTGGTGGTTGAGCTTCGATTTCTGCCATTAATGAGCTTCAATTTCTCTCAAAACCTAGTAAAATATGATGGTCATGAGTAAGGGTGTGTATGGGCAAGGTCGCCTGGGGCAGACAATTAACCCCAATGTTAGGCCTTAAATGTCATTGAGCAATAAAACTCTGCCCAATGCCTAACTCTAACCAAAAGATGTCCATTCATGCCAGGGCAGGATCAGGCAACTCAGGCTTAAACTTCAACCCTTCCTTTTAGAGTAGACATTTGACTATTGGGCTTAAAGAAGGCCCCTGAAAATGGCATTTTCAATAGCAAATTTTAGATTCAATAACTTGAAAATAAATCTAAAATAACACACAGCAACATAGGACCTAAAAAACAAATTGACAACATTAAATTTCCTATCCAATAACCTAAAAATAAACATGAAAGTATTACATAAGCCATAAAGTCTAGTGCAAATAAATAGGCATTCATTATTCATCATCCTTGATATTAATACATAACATAACCATAATTAAATTTTAGGTTGAATAATTTGACATGAAAGCATGTTCACAGATGATAGATCATTGCAACTGTAGACTAGCTAGTATTTCAATCGAAATAGTTCCAATATTTATCATTGTCATCCATTATAATATCTTGAGTTTCAAATCTTGAAAGTTTCTAGTGTTTAAAAGACTAATATAGTTATTAGATCATTGAACAGCCTTAAAAGAGAGTTGGGTTGGAGTTTAAGTAGATCATGGCACGAAGAGAGGCCCAAAACATGTCTGAGCCTCTCTGTGCCATTCGTCGTGGCAGACTCACCATGCACTATGGTGGATTTGCAAAAATATGCACATATCAAATTTGTGAACTAGACAGAAAAACAGAAGAGGGAAAGAGGAAATGAGAGAAGTGATGGAAGAAGGGCTTACGGCTGCTAAGGCTTAACCTTATGAGTAATTTAGAAGCATTTTGGGCAACATTCATTCTTGGGTAAACTTCCTACATCTCTCCATCTCCCTTTATGTGAATTTTAATATGTTTAGGGTAATATGGGACTTGATTTTAGTTTTTCTTAAGTTGTGACCAAACCCATTGCCTTAGTTAAGGTTTTGGAGAATTAAATCAAGCCTCTAAACCTAGGTTTATGAATTGTGCAATAATTTAAAATTTTTGGTTAGGGTTTGGATGAACCCTAAGTGAAATTTAGGAGATCAAGAATAATGTGGGTATAGATTTAGGATTCTTAGTGTGTTTGGATGTTAAATGAGACTATTGGAGTATGTTGAGAGAGTTGGTATTGTTAAAGTAAGGTTTTGGGTGTCATTGGTACCCAAAATTGTGTTTAAAAAGGGTTAATTAGTGTGTAGATTGATGATTAAATGTTTAATCTTGTAGATTAAATATTAATTAGGTGTTTTCATGTTAATGGACACGTGTGAAGCTAAGTCTTGACCATGATAACCCTTTTAGTGACAAAATGGTTAAGATAATTATAGCTATCAATTATGGTCGAGCCCATCGAGCCAGCACTTTTAAGCTAAAAAATAACTAGGGTCAGGCCGCTACTTTAAAAGGAAAAATGATAATTCAAGTTTAAAAAGGAAGCCCTTTTAAGCCTGAAAATAAAAGGGTCGACCTTTTAGGGCTAAGGCTGACCTTTTAAGGCCTTTTATTAATTTTTTAAAATTGTAATATAAAAAATAGAAGATTAAATATATAACTAAAAGAAATGAACATATTAGACTTATTCATCCCTCTTTTATTCATTCATTAACATTTAGTTGATAATATTAGCCAAGTTTAATTTTTATTGGTATTAATTTTGACGTTGCTATTTGATATTAGACTTGAATGTTTAAGTTTTCTTTATTTGTTGTGGTGTAAATTGATTTAAATTTATTTTTTTAAACTTAATTTTATGTATAATAACTTTTTTTAGGATTATAAATCTATTTTTTAAAATTTTAAAATGAAAAAAAGTGAAAAAAAAGGGCCGAGGCCCTGAGGGCTAGGGCCAGGCCTTGTAACAGGAAGCCCTGAAACATTATCGAGCTTATTAGGGCCAACCTGTTTATGCCCCAGCCATAATTGACAGCTCTAGAGGTAACTAAATTGTTTAAACTTTCTTTTTCTATGTTTGGATGGTTGTATGATAGATGTTAAAGTTAATACCTTTGTTTTGTACTATTGTTAACATCTAGAAGTTCATGTTATTTCATCACATTTTCCTTAGATTCTAATCCATTTTGGTTCAATTGTATATGTTTTTATTGCTCAAATTAGGAAAATGTGCATTTTGTTTTCGGCTTGTGTTCTTGGCTTTAATTTGATATTTTTAGCCTAATTTCATGTTATTTTGATTGAAGTTTTGATTAGAAGCATTTCTGGAGCTTTGTGGATGTTTTTGGAAGGCTTTTGGATGAAGAAATCAAGAAAAAAAATGAATAATTTTCGTTAGCTGTAAAAACAGTGTAAAACTGCCAAAGTCGTCCCAAAGTCGTGACTTTCGTTCGCGACTTTCGCCGTTGTCAGAAAAACGCTGCGTTTCATTTATCAGAAATTGGTTGGCTAGGACACA